CTGATCCTCTGCCCCTCCATCAGTCCATCAGTCTTCCTACATTAGCAAACATCTACTTATGCCTCTCCTGTGAAACCTTTTCCTAGCAAAGTAGGTGGTTCCCTCCTTTGTCCTACAGCTCACAGGGTACACGTCTCTTGGAACAATCCCCATGGTATGCTGGAAATATCTACTTAGTCCCTAAATGTCTCAATGTGAATTTTCAAGGGTGTTGCCCTAATGTTACTCATTCTCTTTCCTAGTCCATGGCACAGCATCAATACTGAGTAGAAGTTTATTAAGTGAATAACATCTCTCTGTACCAAAGTAACACTTCCTAATAAACTATCACCAGAGCATGCTTTCTCAGAGACAGCCTCCAGTGTCATCCTTGCAACATATCCAAGAGACACTTATTAAGAAGTTAGAATTTTTTTTTTACCAAATTAGAACATAGGAGGAATGAAACAGAAGCAGAGGAATTCACCAGCAGGATATTAGAAAGATTTGTGGAATTTACATGCAAAAGTTGGCTGGGGCTGTCTCTAGGGTCAGCTTTTGACCTTTCCATTTATGTTTGAGGACAAAGGCTTGGAAGTTAATTCTTGTATGAATCTGGCCTTGCAATTGGTTGCAAATGGAAAGACCTCTCTCTGCAGGAAATGATGCCATCACAATGAGAAGCTGGTTTTTTGGACTGGCACATGGAAAATGCTCATAATGAAAACACAGAATAATCAGTCTGAGCGTGGGGGAGAAGCACTGGGAGGGAAAACGAGAAAGAATCCATATTAAATAGATGTGCCTACCAGCATACTGATGAGGAAAGGGACTTAGAGGTTATTGTAGGGGGAAAAAACTCTTCAAGTTATTATCCTAATGCTTTTCTGTAGCTTAAAAAGTGAATATATGGATTGTGTCACAAGTGGAAGGAAAATGCCAATCAAATTTTTCTAAACGAGAAGTATGGTTGTCACTTTCTGCAGCCATGATACAGTCAAATGTTCTGGGCTATCACTCAACTTGAACCCTAAATTTAATTTTACATACCTACCTATTTGTCCAAATTTTTGTGCAGAAAATACAATCACCAAGTAATCAGTCACAGGTAACAGAAGCCATAGTGGCTCCCATTTATGAAGCCTGAAGCCTGAATAGAGTGTTCTAAGTGCTTCCTGTGCTATAACTCATTTAATTCTCCCTACAGCATTTTGAGGTAGGTACTAATATTTACCCCCATTTGACTTTAAAACATGGAGTCACCAGGCCCAAAGACATCTAGCCAGTGTGTTGTACAGTTGATGTTCACTGCCCCATTGCTTAGCTCCAGAGCTCTGCCGTCCAGCATTATAGCATAGTAGGACTTCCATATAGTAGAATTCCACCTCATCACAGTGGGAAGAGTGGGAGCTTTGGGATCACACAAGTCTTCAGGCAAACCCTGACCCCTGCCCTTGATACAGGACACATTATTGAATGTTTCTAAACCTCCATTTTTTCACCTACAACATGGGATAATAATATCTAAGTGACAAGGATCTTGTGCAGATTAAGAGAGCAGATGCACGAAAGGTAATTTGGACAGTACATAAAGGAGGTAAATAAGTCCCCACGCCCATATCAGCCTCACTTTAGGAGTCCTTAGAAGTCAGAGTCTTAAGGTTTTTTTTTTAAAGATTTTTATTTTATTTATTTGAAAGAGAGTTACAGAGAGAGATAGAGACAGAGAGAGACAGGTCTTCCATCCGCTGGTTCACTCCCCAGATAGCTGCAACAGCCAGAGCTGCGTCAATCCAAAGCCAGGAGCCAGAAGCTTCCTCCGGGTCTCCCACGCAGGTGCAGGGGCCCAAGGACTTGGGCCATCGTATACTGCTTTCCCAGGCCATAACAGAGAGCTGGATTGGAAGATGAGCAGCCTAGAACCGGTGCCCATATGGGATGCCAACGCTTCAGGCCAGGGCTTTAACCCGCTGTGCCACAGCGCCGGCCCCAGCTTTAAGGTTTTGGGAATGAAATGTGATGTATGAACCTCAGTCAGGTTTTTGGGCTAGTGTTGCTGAGACTGTATACTACATTGGGCTGAGGGCCCAGTGACACCATGGAGGGATATATGGGAGTGCTTAGACTCAGGGACTAATGAGATTGTTCCCTTTTTCCCTGGCATTGGGTGGTCCCATCAAGGAGACTATGACGTAGGAAAATTAAGAAAAAAAAAGAGATTAAACTAAGTTGCTTCCACTAATTCTTATGCTTCCAGCAATTAGAGTAAAATACCTCCACAATATGTATAATTTTAGCTATCATGATATTGGTGATTTGCTCATGCTCATAGCTCAGCCCATAGTCCCAAAAGGAGGCTGAAGTTCTTATCTTCTTTTCTTATTTTTTATTTTATTTTATTTTATTTTATTTTTTGACAGGCAGAGTTAGACAGTGAGAGAGAGACAGAGAGGTCTTCCTTCCATTGGTTCACCCCCCAAATGGCTGCTACAGCTGGTGCACTGCGCCGATCCGAAGCCAGGAGCCAGGTGCTTTCTCCTGGTCTCCCATGCGAGTGCAGGGCCCAAGGACCTGGGCCATCCTCCACTGCCTTCCTGGGCCACAGCAGAGAGCTGGACTTGAAGAGGAGCAACCGGGACAGAATCTGGCACCCTGACCAGGACTAGAACCCTGGGTGCCAGCGTCGCAGGCGGAGGATTAGCTTAGTGAGCCAAGGTACCGGCCATGAAGTTCTTATCTTCTTAGGGGAGGGAACGGATGGACAACATGGAAGAGAGGATGAGGCAGCACAGGAAGTGGTCAGGGTAGAGGGTGAGTCCTGGGACCCCAGGGTCCCCCAGTTTACACTACCCATAGTAGGCAATGATACAGATACAAACACGCTTGGAGATTCTTGGAATCATTCCTACTATCCCAGAAATTTCAGGGTCTGCAGACCCAGAATCATCTCAATCCATATCAGAGGGAATAGCTGCTGTCAGGCTGGATGGAAAGGATTTGGATTAGGCAGCAGACCCCGCCTGGAGCGCCTCCTGGCAGCATAGGCAGAGTCTACTTGTTCATTTCATTAATCTTGGACTACGGAGAAACTGCATGTTAGACAACAGCATTCACCATGTTTCTGTGGGCTTCGTCACATCTGCTGAGCATCTACTAACAAGGGCCATAGGCTGCCTGCTAGGAGTTCAAAAACAAAAAATACTGTTCCCACCTTCTAGGAGCTCATAGTTCAGCAGGGAGGCAGTCAAATAAGGAGCAATTACAGTACAGAGTGCAAGTGCCGCCCTGGTGGCTCACAAGAACCACTCTGGAGTACAGGGAGAGAGAGGAGGAGTACTTGAACCTGAACCGCTTTCCTAAAGAAGCACAGGAGAATGGGAGGGAGTCTCCGGAGGAGGGTGCAGCTCGGGTCCTGGCCTGGAGGCTCATGGTTGGCTCCAGGAAATGAAGAGTAGGAGTGTGAAAATGAGGTAGGAGATGAGACAAGGAAAGGCCCAGTCACGGGCCCCAAATGCCACAGCTAGGAGCTGCAATTTCATGCCATGTATAAATAATTCTCAATCTTTCCTGGGGTGTGAAATATAGTGGAATCATGCTCCCTTTATCTAGAAAAAAAAAAAGTACCACAATGCACACACCCACGTGTTTTTGTGTTTTATATTCAACTTCAGGGAGAGTTGTAGAACCTCTGGCATTCTCAGTGTATGGACCCCAAGTTAAATCTCTCACCAAGGAGAGGGATAGGAAGGATCAGCCATATGAGAGATCAGTGAGAGGTTTGAAGTTGAGCAGGGCTTTGTCCATCGAATATCTGGGTACACCGCAACTGAGGCAGTGATGGGCAGGATGAATGAGAAGAAGCCAGTTTGAAGGCAAAGGAGCATGAAACCCCAGTCAGGCCTAAAACTACCAATTTAGACCATGCTTCGGTTTCATTGAAAACCCATTTCCAGAATTTTTGTTAAGTGATGGACAAGATGAACACCCACTTGTACTCAGAGCCTTTTCTGGCCCAGCCCCCTTCCTTTCAGGTAAAGGTGTCTATGGCCTCAAAGGCAGCTGTAAGAGAAGACAGGGCAGGTTAAGAGGAGACACTGTGATCTATGGGAGGAGCATGCAGCTTGGGTCCTGGCCTGGAGGCTCATGGCTGGCTCCAGGAAATGAAGAGTAGGAGCATGAAAATGAGGTAGGAGAGAAGACAAGAAAGGCCCAGTGCCTGGGGACAGATGGTATGTGCTTGCAACCCAGAGTTCTTGAGTTCCCAGAGCACTTTCTGTTTCCAACGACTGCAGTGGAATTTCCTTAGGAAAGGAGGACGTATTCAAGCAAGAGGGCCCTCCCGACTCTTCTACATGCTGGAGAGTGGGGCAGGGATGTGGAGAGTGGAGAATGCATGAATCTAGCATTGGAATAAGGATTTAGAGATCTGTGCATAATGCTGACTCCTTCCATGAGACCCTGAGCTGTGGGTCTCTGTGCTGCTTTGCTGACCTGTTCTGGAAAGAGAAGTGAGCAGGGGATTATAAAGCGCTTTATAAATACTGTATGAAGGTGACGGAGCAGCGACAGATGGGTGTATTTACTGAAAGGAACAGCAGAATTCCAGCTATCCTTGACTTTTTGGCAGATTTTCAATTTCTTCCATCCAAAAAGGCCCTCCTAGAAGCTCTGAGAAGCAAAGGAGTTCCTGGTTCCTTTTGTGTTGCCTTCTACAACTCTGCTGCCCTGTGACAGCACTCTGTGAAAATCAGAGAGAGGAGGATGGGGTGAGAGGATTCAGCCAGGCTCAAGTGCTCTGCGAAGGCTGTGGGAGTCAGGGCTGGTGATGTTGCAGACGTTTCAAGAAATGTCTCCAAATAACAGAATTTCACTGATGCCAAGAGGGCCTGTGGCACTTGCTGGGCCCCCCGCCCTGTAACATGGCCACGACCTGCTCCTGATGGCTTCCGTTCCCCTAAGTCATGTTATGGGAGATAGATTCGCCCACCTATTCAATTCCATGCCTGCTGTTTTCTCTTTAGGATCATGCTTGCTCCTGAATAGTGTGGAAATGATGAGCCCTGTTAGAATGCAAACCGATCCAACATCCACTTCACACTCCCAAATGTTTGCTCCGCCAAGGGATGCCTGATTGGGCTTGGGGTTTTTCAAGAGATGTGTTTGTCACCTTCTCCACCAATTCTTCTGGAATAGAAGAGGAGGGTAGCTACAGGTAACAGATTATTTTTAATTCCGCCTTGTTATTTGGAACTGATTTCCCATATGTTGTTGTTGTTCAATTCCTTGCATGAATTTTCTCAAATATTTGTAACATATGTCATATCTATATGCAGATTTTAAATTATGGATGCCTTCATCCAATCATTTTCCAAGAGGGAAAAAATCCAAGTCTCATGCTCTCCAGCAGGACCAGGGTCCCCTGGGCATCAGATCGCGTTCAGGTAGACACATCTGGTGAAAGGCATCACATCAAATTAGTATCAAGGGGATTGAGACTCCGAGACGGCAGGCAGACAATCCCCTTCTAATGTACTGCTTTTTAGATGGTCGGGGAAACTTGAATCCCAATTCTCCTGTGAAATGAGTGATACTAACATGCCTGTTCAAATGCTCAAAGTGAAGATCAAAGCCACAGTGTCCAAATTGGCCTTGCAAACAAAGCAGCCCTTGCTTCCCCCCCGGGGATACTGTGCTAATTTTATCAACTCTCCCTGGCTCTTCTGCTATTAAATAGCAATAAATAAATGTGTTTTTTTTTCCCTGAGTTTGCCAGTGGCTTATTTGCCTGACAAACAAGCTCATTTCCTTTTAAGTGTGAGGTTTTAGTGCAACTAATAGAATTAATCTATTTTTAATGAAAATGCGCAGGGCTTTTACTTAGAAATATACCTACCCACCTCCACCTCCGTCTCGCAGCAGCAGGCCCCACCCCCAGCACCTTCTCTGAACACATACATCCAGCCATGAATATTTCAATACATCTCGGGCTTTCAGATCAATAATAGGCAACTCTCAAGCCCTATTGATTTTCAGAGGTTTGACTCGCTAGGGTGATAAAATATTTCACGACTTATGAAATCTGAGTCAAAGAGGCTTTGCTGCCCCTTCGACTTTTACCAGATATCTTTGTCTCCTTTTCTTCCTCTTCCCGTGTTCCTTTTGTGTGTTCTCCCTCCCTTGGCCCACCCCCCTGCACCCCGCACAGTCCTGAGGTGGAGATTTATGACTAAGCAATAAGTCCTGGGGAGCCAGGCACTATTTCCCCACTGGGTCCTTTCCAGGTCAGAGGGAGAAGAGGCCGAAGGCAGACAGCAGTGCTGAGCACGATCCAGCCCCCATCCATCTCGCCTGCAGGGGCCCTGCCAGCTTCCCTCCTGTCTCTCTGATTCATTTATCAGCACAGCCGACTCCTCCTCCTGCACACCTCTGAAGATGTAATCCCAGAAGGCGAGCCTAGCAACATACGAGGAATTCCCCACTGAGGCACAGGAGCTGCGCTGCTCCATATGGGTAGGAAATAAGCTAATTATACAGTCAGCCATGTCCAATGCTGGGATGTATGTTGTTATAAGTTTATCCAGCCTTGTTACAATGCAGAGAGTCCCAGGTTCTTGGAAAATTGTATGGAAGCTTTGGTGGTCTATTCACCGTGGTGTGCGATGGATTTGGTGTTTGGAGGCCTAGGTTCAGGTTTCTCTGGCTAACTATGTTGGTCAAGTCAAATCGCTTCCTTTCTTTGGCCTCTATTTCCTCCTTAGTAAAAATACTTTCTGTCATTTGTTTCTTTAGCAAATCTTTACTGAATTTATTGCCAAGGACGGGGTAGATGGTGGCCAACACAGAGACATGTCTCTGCTGTTATGAAGCTTGTCATTGAGCTAGGATTAGCTAAGAACATATAAATGTTTCTCCCTCCTGTGAACTCCCATATTTCCCGCCTCTGGATATCGCAACACATGCTGGATATAAGTGCGTGATTCTCATGTTTATAATGGAATCCCTTGCTGCATTGTGTGTTGCTTATTGGTGCGGATGGTGCCTGGAACTTCAGAGATACTTACTCGCTGGATATTAGTGGAGTAAAATGGCTCTTCATGTTTTGTGTCCTGGCCAACATCAAATTGGACCGAACAAGCAATCATGTGGGGGGGGGGGGCCTCAGGGGAAACACATTCAATTGTCAGGGACCCTGATCTAATAGCTTTTCATCCCAAGACTTTGGTCAAGGGAGGTATGTAACAGGACTTACTGAGAGCTTGTTGTAAGAGGTCAGTGAATTTTAGCTGCTCCTGCAACGGAATGTTAGAGAAAACCAAAAAGACTGCATCAGCAGAACAGACAGATGCACACAAGCCTTGGAGGACCATCGCACACTGAATGGATGTATGGTGGGGGATGGGGTAAGAAGACAGCTCGTTTCTTATGATGCCAGGATGATAGGCTTTTGCATTTGACCTTTTTAATTGAAACCAAGGTTGCTGTTCTGTAGGGGTAACAACCCTGTAACCTTGAACTGATTTCTGCCCTATCTTCAGACTCAGTGGTTGGATTGGAAAACATGCGTTAGGCTCCTTCCAGCCTTGCCATTGCTTGGCTCTGTGTGGCACTGATGATTGCTAATGTGAGCTCAGAAACAAGTATTCTCCCTTTTATCCCCCACACCCCATAAGCCACACAACATGGCCCTCTCTTTCTCCAGGAAGCACTCTTTGGAAGGCCAAGGCTGTCTAGCTGCCTCCCTCTGCTTCCCCCCACCCTGTCACAATGAAAAGTTTTTTCCATTGTCTCCCCCAACTAAACCACAAGCTCTCTGGGGGCAGAACCTGTTTTGCTCACTATCACGGTCCTCACACCTTCCTAGCACATGGCTGGGCTTCTGTACAAAGCACGCTGCTTCTTAGGTTGAGTGAGTCTGGAAAGGTGTGCAGTGGGCGTTGGAGGAGAAATGCTGATGTTACTTTTTGTTGCCTGTGACCCTAAGCAAGTGTATAGGAGAAGCATCAGAGATGCCTTCCGTTTGTTTCACTGTAAGCAGAGTGATCAGGAAGACGGTCTCTGAGGTTTGCTCCAGAGATGAAGCCCCCTCTTGCTATGGGAGAGGACTCAATTGCCCTCCATAAAGAGGTAACCTTGTGATCAGGTGGGCTATAAATTCCTTCTTTGTTTCTGAGGGGGAAAGGGACAAATTGCTTTATTAGTTAAATTTGCAGGGCTGGTTCTGTGGCATAGAACGTTAAGCCTCTATCTGCAGTCTTTGTGTCCCATATGGGCACCGGTTTGAGTCCCGGCTGTTCCACTTCCAGTCTAGCTCCCTACTGTGCCTGGGAAAGCAAGGGAAGATGGCCCAAGTGCTTGGGCCTCTGCACCCACATGGGAGATCAGGAGGAAGCTCCTGCCTTTGGCTTGGCCCAGCCTTGGCCATTACAGCCATTTGAATCAGTAGATGGAAGACCTTTCTCTCTCTCTCACTCTCTCTCTCTCTCTCTCCCATCCTTCTCTCTCTCTGTATCTCTGCCTTTCAAATAAATAAATAAATCTTTTTTTTTTTAATTTTTGACAGGCAGAGTGGACAGTGAGAGAGAGAGACAGAGAGAAAAGTCTTCCTTTTGCCATTGGTTCACCTTCCAATGGCCACCGCGGCCAGTGCGCTGCGGCCGGCGCACCGCGCTGATCCAATGGCAGAAGCCAGGTGCTTCTCCTGGTCTCCCATGGGGTGCAGGGCCCAAGTACTTGGGCCATCCTCCACTGCACTCCCTGGCCACAGCAGAGAGCTGGCCTGGAAGAAGAGCGACCGGGACAGAATCTGGCGCCCCAACCGGGACTAGAACCTGGTGTGCCGGCACCGCAAGGCGGAGGATTAGCCTAGTGAGCCGCGGCGCCGGCCTAAAATAAATCTTAAAAAGACATTTGCAGGCAGTGTTTGTTCTCTGAATAACAGCAGATGCTTCCAGTGCAATGGCATGGCCTCCACAGCCCCTACCTCTTGCTACAAATAAGATGCCTGTTGGAAGTCAGCTCTCCTCATCTGCAGCTTCCAAGTCCAGGGATTCAATAAAACAAGAGTGGAAAGCATTTTTTTTTAAAAAAAGATTTTAAAATGCATTTCTTTGAAAGTCAAAGAGAGAGAGAGATCTTCCTTCCACTGATTCTCTCCTCAAATGGCTGCAATAGCCAGGCCCGGACTAGACTGAGGCCAGGAGCCAGGAACTTCTTCTAGGTATCCCATGTGGGTGCAAGGGCCCAAGTACTTGGGCCTTCTTCTGCTGCTTTTCCCAGGCCATTAGCAGTGGAGTAGCCAGGACATGAACCATCGCCCATATGGGATGCCAGTGTTGTAGGCAGCAGTTTTACCCATTACCCACAATGCCAGCCTGTGGGAAGTGCTTTTAAAGAGCAACTGCCTCTGTATTGAACAAGTGTACACCTTTTCATTACTATTCCCTAAGCAACACAGGGCAATACCAACTGGCACAACATTGACCTTGCATTAGGTATTGTAGGTAACTGTGAAGTGATTTAAAATATAGACAGGATGTGCACAGGTTATATGCAAATAAACACCATTTTATCTAAGGGACTTGAGCATCCACAGATTCTGCTATCTGAGGGGTGAATCCTAAAACCAATCCCCTGTTGATATCAAGGAACAACTGCACATCAAATATAAACATTTCAATGAGTTTTTTGCTAGATTTTGAAGGCATAGGTAGAGTGGTCTGATTTCAGATGAAGGCCATGTAATATATGTGAAATTAGGAGAACTTGAGAGGGAACCTCAAAGGGAGGTTTGGGTGTCCTCCAGAACATCTGCTACTGAGCTCACGGGCACAGCTGTGACTTCTGATCCACTCGTTACGACACCCAAGGAAAGGAGGGAATCTCAGCTGCAAATACGACCCCTAAAGTAGACGTCTCGAGGCAGGTGCTCTGAACTGATTGGCTAGGGGTCTGCTTCCTGCATGGGCGGCTCTACCTGGTGAGACCAGGGCTCTGTTGATACAAGCTAACGAGACTCTGTGGTTCTTCTGACTAACGCTGTGCTTGTGGCAGGGACAGCTGGTCAATATATTCATTTCTCCCACAGAGCAGGACCCTTTGCCATCTCCTCCTTTGCTTGGAATTGTTCTCCAATACACAAGTGTTAGTTGGCGATTACCCCATAACCTAATAAATGTTAGTTGGTGACTACCCTGGGTCCTAAACATTTGCCGGACACCAACACTGAAAGGTAATCTACCACAGTCAGAGTTTTAGGACTGAGCGTTGCTGTGAGCATCACCTAGCAGGACTCTGACGGTGACAGT